CCGGCTCTTGCGGTGAGGGGGGGGGTTGACGTTTGAGGTTGGGTTGAAAACCTGAAGCCAAATTACTGAAATAAATCCAGATTTTTTTTTTTTTCCCTTGTTTTTTTTTTTTTTAATCCTTTTCGTTTCTCTTCTCTTCGGGGGCACAGAAAAAGGGGGTCAAAGTGCCTCTGACCTACCTTCCAAACGCCACCGTTTGTGTGGGGACAACCACACACACACACACACACACACACACACACACACTGACTCTGTCAGAGGCCCGTCAGTGTCACCCCCCCCCCCCCCCCCCCCCCCTTCCGCCCCGGTCTTCCCCCCCCGTCAGTTCCGTTTGGTTTGGTTCTCCCGGGGACATACCGTCACTTGTTTTCTTTCTGAGCTGTTCTGTTTTCGGAGGATGTGCTCAAAAACGTCTCGATCCGGCTGAAAGGAGAACCGATCGTAACCCGGAGGAGGTTCTCCGTCGAGCTCGGCTTTGGCTGTACAACCTGAAAAAAAGTACAACCTGGACCTCCGAGTCGAGTCTCGATCCGGCCCCGAATGTTAAAATTGACCTTTGACCTTTAACTGGCACAAACTGAGCTCTTACAGATGTGACCCAGATGCCAGGAGCCGTTAGGGTGACTCAGCGTTTCTCTCTTCGCGGGCTTTTAGGTCTTCCACCTGCGTGGGTATTCGGGGGGTTTCTGGGGGGGGGCCTCTGCCGGAGGGTTTTTAAAACAGACTTTACATTTTAACGGTGTGTGTCGGTGTACAGTGAGGTGTGTGTCGGTTCTCACTTTGGACTCTTCGAGCAGCGTTCGTCATCGTCCGTGTACTCCCGTCTCGTCTCCGTGTTTGCGAAATAAAGTTTAAAAAAAAAAACAAACGACGAATAATAAATGACAGCGAACAAATATTCCTGATGTTTAAAGACAAGAAACACTAAAGTACAGAGAGAGAATTGTAAAATAAAATGTTATTGAATGAGGTGCAACTAGACTTATTTTGTTAAAATTGTTTAGAGATATGAGAAAGAGCTCTGTGGAGAATATGATGATGATGATGATGTGTTGAATATGCAGAGCGATATTTGGATTAAAGTTGTAGCAAGCTGACCCACCAAACCCGTTTCCAGTCTCTTCTGTCCCAAACTTCCTTCACATCAGGGAAAAGGTCTGAGCTCTAATCAGCCGAAACAAGGACCCATCTGACCACAGGACTTAATTACTGCCCAACAAAAGAATCCAAGAAGGAGCAGGTCTGAATTATTTAAAGGGAGGAAGTGAAAGGTTTCCACTCCGAGAAGCCTCAGAAAGAACGAGTTGTTACCCGCATGCGTCGGAGGGCCAAAATGAAATGAACGATCATTTATTTGATAATCAAAATGAGTTTAATTTCAGGGTGAAAAAATGTTTTAATGTAGATTTAAAAGATGGAGTCAAGAAGCCCGTCTGATTGATTTTGGTCAGTCCTGTAAAGGCTCCATCACCAATGAGTTTTTGGGAGGAAGGACTTATTTTTGACACATAAAATGGGGCCGCACCATGTTTGTTTCCCTTTTAAAATACCTAAAAACATCACATTAGTTTAGCATCAGTTTAAAGGCTCGAGCACACAAAAGCATGGATAGGTTTGGGGGTCTAATCTTGATCAAATCACCTTATTTTTGCCTGGAAAAGCATGATTTGTTAACTTAACTGTCAAGTTTTAAACAAGCAGCCACTTTAAAATCTAAATCAGTGTGAAAAGCAGACATCTTTCCCCTCAAAAGGTCATTCCACCTTAAAGCTGCGGGTCCAGAATCAGCCCCTCTGGGCCGACTGTCCACAAATGTCTCTTTTTGCTCTGGTTTCGATGGAAAAGAAAAACATTTAGACTTATTTTGGGCAACAATTGATGGTCAATTTTCAATGAGCTCACACCAAACATCCAATCAGATCTAGACATGAGACTGAGGCTGTTTGTGCCAATCCAGTGAAGGTTCAGGTTTTTTTTTTTCCATATATATATTTTTATTGGGTTATAAGGATACGATACATGTCTTCCACCCCCCTAAATTAAAAAGTCCTGTTCACATACAAACAAAATACAGTAACGACTCTCCTTTACGAGTAAACTTGGGGGCGAGGCGAACAGTTGCCAAACCAACCAACAAACAAATTGCAACAAAAA